GYWTTTTAAAACAGCYATCTCGGCGTCTCGACGGATCTCAGATTTTACCATTCGCCAKCCCTTSAGTTATTGCCTGATTTTCAGCAGGCTCTGCCCCAAAGTCGCAGATTTGAAGTCYTGATTCAACAGTTTCTGCTGTAAAGGATGCATTGATTGATATGAAAAAAATAAAARCTTAGAGTTCATTTTCACTTGCTTCATGAAACACTTCAAGCTTTTGTTTTTGAGCAAAAAATTAAACTGGTTATGGTTTGSTAATGATTATAGGTTACAAGATAGCACCATATAGAGACTTAAAGAGGCCTTGTGGTTTGAAGAGGTCATCGTCATTGCGTACACCCAGACAACACAGAGATAGTGGCTCCAATGATGGTAGGTGTATGACTATAAAACCTAAAATAATCATGAAAAGACTTCCCTGAATGGTTCCWTAATTCCTATATGACCTTACCACAACCTACATTTTTATTTCTTGACATAATGAACTTTAGCTGGATATGCTTATCACAAATTGGGGTCTTTTTGTTTTGTTGACAAAAAAACAACAACTTGGCAATAAATGAGGGTCAAGAAACTAAATTTAATGCTCATTTGATTAAAGTTCCTTTTGCTTAATGATTTTATTTTTATCAATAAAATATTAGCTGATAATACCTAGTATTAATATTCTAATATTGCRTAAACCCAGTCATATAACTGCTTGTAAAGTTAACATGATATTAAACTGGCAATGTGCCAACTCTAACAACCATTCCAGGGTTACATACACCAAGTCGTCCTGTACGCCGTTCTTCTTCAGGTAACGACCCTAATGTTCATTAAATAGAATGGTAAAATTCAAACTGAACTATCAATMTATATGAGCTGCAACTGAAATCATTAACCTGCATTTACATATATTGAACTAATAATGATTTTAATATATTCTCAAAAACAATGCATCAAAAGTTTTGTTTTAAAATAGAAAATAAGGAGACATGAACAATGAAAGACAAATATTTCAGCTTTTTTGCTCAGTACTTTTGTTTTTGTTTTTTTGTTTTTATTGTGGTTTTGATTTTCTGCTATGAGATATATAGACCTCACTACAAGACCATTGTAAAATATTTTATCTGTAAAAGGATGAGTTTCAATGTATTTTTAGTTCCATGTATCTTGTCTGATTCCAGCACAGTAGATCACAGTATTGATATAATTGTTCTTGAAACCCAACAGTGAAGAGTGCTAGTAAYGGGGCAAGAGGCAGAAGTGTCAGTCCTGGACCTCCAGGAAGCAGGGTAAATTGATTGCACATTTTCACATCAAATCTCTCCTCACAATTAAAAATGACACAGAGAATTGGTGAAAGAAGTGGAAAGTACAATAAGAAAATGTAGGAATGTAAAGAAAATGGAAAATAGTGAAGGGAAAATAGGATGGAAGAAAGTAGAAAAGGATAGAAGTGGATGGAAGGGATAAAGTTAGAAAAATCATCATACATTTCAGTATTATTATTATTATTTGTCTTGGCATAACTGACAATGATAACTTGAACGTCTTAAGTTTGACTGGAGGTGGCTTGAATGAACCTTGAGACTTTATGTCACTGTTGTATGTTCAGTCATGCTTATTTAGGAAGGTCAATTTGSAACTTGTTAATGATAAATTTTTAAATGCAATCTTTTTTTTTCTTTAAGGTCAATGGGCACACACCCAAATGTAAGTATCAGTTGATAATGTATTATTGGCAATAAAATCTGATATGTTWTTAATCCTGTATGTTTTTTAATCAATAGCAAACCGCTCCAAGTCTCCAAGCTCTACAGGAAGAAAGGTAAAACAAATTGATGATCTCATGTATTTATTTGACTATTATTTCTTCAAAATGATTGTTAAAAGATAATTTTGTCCTTCCTAAAGTATTTTGTTATTTTTTTAGACTCCTTCAGGGATGGCTAACTTAAACGATGAACTGTAAGTGATATAAATGCAGTTAAAATGTGTTGTTTTAATTTAAAGCTACTTACATCTTATTTGTTAAATTTTATCTAAATCACTCAAACTTGTTGTATAAATTTGAGGTTTGTTTATTTACTAGTCACATACTAGTCTTTCTATTGATTGTATAGGAAGCTCATTTGGTGATTTTAGTAATCTTAAAAACGGTAGTAAAAATAAAATGTAGAAGTAATGTTACTTTGTTTCAAAGCAATGCTATTATTTCAACCCAGGTATCCAGCGGCTGTGTTTGAGAGAGATAGTCTTGCATCAGAATCAGGTAAGATGCAGGGTATAAGCTTGAGGAACTATATGTATCTCCTTTCGCTGTAGAACTGTGACAATTCATCAAGAAGCAGTATTCCATTTAAATTATTTAGGCCAGAATATAGTCTTGTTATAAAAAGAATTAACTAAACCTAAACATTTTATCTATTAAAAAAGCCAGGCTTTTGCGCTTTGTATCTAGAGRAAAACCATAGTGTTTTATTTAAGAATCTGGCAACTCCCCTAAAGTGTATATGTTTGTGTTGATAAAATGTTTAAAATTAAATTGTTCATATTGAAATTCAAAGGACTTAAACTGTCACACGTCTTATAGCATTGACTGAATTACTCCATAAACTAAAAACATCAAATAAACATAAACAATAAAGCCCTTAAATTCATAAACAAATATAAACATATTTTRGGAAAAGTRGTAGTTCACTCATAAGACTTGTTGATTGGGCCTTTATTTTCAGTGCTGTGTTTTAGTAGATAACTAGTAGAACTTTGTTTGCCAACTGATTTGTGTACAATACACAGCATTACACAGCTGGTCAACCGATGTAAAGAAAGTGATTCGGAAGCGCAAACTAAAGACCTCACCATCDGACAAGTTTTACTCTACCGTGTGGCTGAGTGATTATGAATCAGAGTTTGATAAAAAATCGGAAGCTGAGTTTTATAGGGAAGACTCCTTAGCTAGTTTCAGCCACAGAACCACACCTCATGATAGCCATGTAACTTCACCTTTTAGTAGTCAGCCAGTGTCTCCTTATAGTAGTAGAGTTTCTTCACCTACCTCTAGTAGACCAGTAACTCCTTCTACATTTTACACCTTTGATGATGAGGATTCCGGACTTCCATCAGAAACGGATAAATCTTATGAAGATATTGCTAGAAATAAAAAGAAAATTCACAGAACTCTTAGTTTACCAGACTCAGAACTAAATCAAATGAGCTCTGAGGACCTGCATGACAGGTTTACAACCCTTCAACTTGAGCAAGAAAATCGAAGTTTAAAGAAATTAACTGCTGARCTTCAGTTTGCATTAGAACAATTGGAAGAAAGAGTCAATGAAATGCAAGAAGAAAAATCAAAAGAGGTTCAAAGATGTGAAGTAGATAGCCTTGATGAACCTTCTACAAATATTAAACAAACCAGRAAACCATCTAGACACTTAGATATTCCTCTAGAAAGCCCTCAGTTTCATTCACAAAATATATACCAACCAAAACCACTTAAAAAGAAAAGTGAAAAACACTTGGAATCCAAACTACCAAAGTCAAAAACAAGACATCGGAAGAGAGACCAAGGAAACTGCTGTATTAGTTAATAATGTTTCTTGTGGAAATACATGAGGCTGTGGTTTTGAGGGTCGATAAGCTATCTTTCTATAAATATGCTTCAGATTTATATCATGTATAAAGTAAACAAAATGAGGCCAAGTTGTATTGCTTTGGTTACTTAGCGACAATTAATTTTCTTGTTCCCCTAAGCCTTGTTTTAATGGAAGGCATGGTGGAGTACTACTTCATCGTTGCCATGCTAGTAATGTCATATTAGCCTCATTTTGATATGCATGTGGCAYAAGTCTAGCATATGTGTCATGTGATCAATGTAAATAGTAGTTTTGGAATGAAAAAAGAGCTCTGAATTCATTTTTGAGGGGAAAAGTTACTAGTAAAACTATGCCTGATGGTTAGGACTTTGGTCATTTGTGATATCCATGTTTCGCTAACAAACAAACTGACTGTTTCTTCCTATCATATATACCTCACAGCAGAGCGCATTATGAAATTATTGTCACCAGACGTGCCGTCAGCGCAGCAGTGCTGTATGCTATTTGAGCATGACCATGGCAAGGAAGGAGAGTGGAGCCTGGGGAGGGAGCTTGTGACCAGCACCTAACGCCTGTACACTAGCTATCACACATAGTTTGACTAGAGGACCCTCCATGTTAGAGACTAGTGACATGTTAAAGTCTATATGACATCAAAATAATATCAATATTGGAGAAAAAAGGCATTGTACTCATTGATCTTATATTTACAAGCCTCCACAGTTGATGTTAATYTTTTCAATTGGCTGTTTGTGTTAAGTTATTTGTGACGTCAAATGGGGGGTTGTCAATGTGTGCTTGCTTGGTAAGATGATATTATTCTATATATGGTAGATAGTTTTTGTTTTGAGTCAGACTTTGTCAGGTTATTCATTTATCGCATTGGATCTGATAAGTTGAGCGCATTAGGTTTGAATCATTTTATTTGAAGCATYATGATGAAAATTAAGGCTTACAAAAACTAACAAAGTTTATAAATTTATAAACAAATAATAGATTATTATTTTATTGTTTACAATATGGCGAAATTTAAAATCTGAGTCTTGATATATTTAATTGTCAAGTCAGTAACGCCAAATAAATTTTACTAAACTTAAAATATTATATTTTAAAATATTTAACTAGAATAAATAAGCTTCTATGTTTTACATGCACTGACCATGTAGTAAAGACATTTAAAAGTTTTAAAATTCCCAAGGGAATACATCTAACAAAGCTAAAGTTTTAGATATTATATTCAAATATAAAATGAATGTAATTTGATGAACTAAATCATTGCCAGATCCTAAACTACACAAAWGTAACTTATTTCTAAAATATAAACAAAGCTAAGACTTTGAATTAAATTTAGATGAACTCTGATTCTTATAACTTAAAGGCAATAAATATCATGAAATCAATCGGTTAGATTCACTGCAAATTAATTATATATCAGCTCTCAATATTAATCTTTGATTATTGCATATTTTTAGTTCAGTTGATGTTGATCATAACTGTTGTAATATAGAGAAGCTAGTTAGAAGCATGAGGGCATTTCAAAGCCAGTTTAGTCTTGAATGAAAATCTTCCCTTTTRAGATTATCGTTTGACAAATTTGTTGTTCAGTTTTTTAACCCTTTTTTCTTAGTTTTTATTAATAAATGTTCCTCATGCAACCAGCCAAATCTATACTACTAACGGCCATTTAAACATTGAAWATTAACATGTAACCATAGTAACTGTAAATACCCACCCTATACTCAATATTAATTGTACTCAATAAAGTCATTTATGTTGCTCTGATTAAATGTGCATTTGTGTTTTTATTTTGTTGTTTATATCTTCTCAGCCAATATTTCATGCAATAACTTTAATTCCCCATAAGCGTGTGACAGTTTTTAAATTTCAATATGTCCAATCTTATTTTAAATACATTTCGTCTTTGACATTTTTTATAMTAAATTCCTTGATAAATTTTATTCTGCTATGGATATTTTAGTTTATGTGGCTGTTAATTTGATGATTGTGGAAATTGTGATATTGTATATGTAAATATTGGCTGAAGACAAGTTTTTGACACATATTTACCAGAGCAAAGAAAGCAGTGCTGCAATGCTGCTGATGTTTCTTAATGTTTCTGATGGAAACACATAGCTGTCAAGCAGCCACAAATCTCTGCTTTCCTAAAGTTCTAGTTAATAAGTGCTTTATTATCATACCAAGCTAATGTCAAAGGGAAAATCAAATAGAGCGATAAAGAAGGTGTGAAACTGCTGTGTTACCATGATTTCCAGTTATACAGGGAAATATTTCAGTTCAACATATAATGAACACTGCCAACCAACATGATACTATGAAAATTGAACTTTGACACTTGGTGTATAATAATATTGTTTTTTTTGTATTGTTTTTTTTTTTCATGTAAGCTTGCTKTCTAGATAAAAATTTGCACATTCAGCTTTGCTCTACACTTAACTAATATATTGTCTAATATATTTCTTYAAAATAATCCTATAAACACTGAAAACATCTGCATGAAGTGTGTAAATACTTTTCGAGTTGTTGCTTGTCTTTCAAGCTCATCAATGAATTTAACATGCATTGTGCTCACAATGAAATCTCCAATCCTAGAAATCTTTTCTTTTAATATAACTTTTCAGGATACTTCATCCAGTAACTTCTCATTTAACTTTTGCAATATTCCTCAATGTTATGTTTAAAATTTCTYCAACCTATGCTCTTCCTGCATAAATGAACCAAAGTTGTTTATTTGCTTTCTGAGTCAAGTCTTAATATTGTGTACAAGGAGTCCAAGTTGTTAGAGTGTAAGTCTCTGTCACTGATAGTATTCTTGTACCATATGCAGTGTTTTAAACCTCTGTAAAATATCGCATTTGACAAATTTGGTCTTAAGCAGCCAGTTATGTTTTGTTTGTTAATCAAAGCATTGAAACAAAACGACAAGCAGATTGAATAACAGTGTAAACATTGTGTTAAACTGCAGTAATATATGGTAACAACTTGTGTAACTGCTTCCCCATTCTACTATGCAGTGAACTGTACAGTCTGAAGGACAAATTTCTAGATTATCAAGTAGCATGAWTGACTGTCTATTGGCTGTGTTATATGTGTTTTTGTTTGTTTGTTCCACTTGTAAATAAAATAATTATTTCATGTACCACAATTCATGGCATTGTTCAACCACCTGCTACAAAAGACAAAAACACTTCAAATGTTATCTAAAATAACTTTTCTTTTTTTTTAATTTATAAACCTTTTAAATTTAAGATCACTGCCTTCTATCATAACTTATGTTTACTTTTTCTTTTGACAAACAAAATGTAACTGGCAAATAAAATTCATCTGACAGAAAGTGTTTTTGTCTTTTTAGTAGTACTCAGTCATTATCTGACTATGATTTATAATTCTTTACAGAGAGAATTGAAAACTACTCTATGGAACAAGAATTCTGATCTAAACAGAGCTCCTTGCTCATGGATAAAGAKTTAAATATACTGCTAAAACTCCATAATACCTTCTAATGGATAATTCTGCTCTAGTTTTGCTTCTAAAATATATAGTATTAACCATTCATTTAATAACATTGTTGAGAGTTTCATCAATATAGACATTTTTTCAATTTTAGAGATATGAGTAAATATGTTGTAATTCTAAACAAATTAAAATAGAAAATTCAAAGTAGTCATCAATGAACAGGTACAGTTGGAGATATCCAATGATTAAAGAAAACTCTAAAATATGTGAAATGTGTTAGAAAGCATATGAATGTCAAGTTTAAAGCATGGAAATAATAACAAATAATGAAGAGAAACTGAGAAAATCCTTTGTTTCCTAATGATTCAAAAAAATATATTTTATGTCTGATATATTTATAATATTATTAAATTAATGTAATCTCAATTAACTTAATTTGTAGGAATAACCATTCATCAATAGCGTAACCTTTGTGTGTCAATTATATTCATCTATATTGTATGACTTGTAAAGATGATTGATATTCTACATGGCTTGAGCTTCGTATATAATGTATAGTTGTAAACTGGTATATAAAAGACTTAACAAATGAAGTGTGAAATATCTGACCTCTGGAGTCAAACTGGTGATGGGGATAGCTACTCAATAAAGTGTAACCAATGTTAACCCTGATTCCATAACAATCTATCATGGCATTARGTCTTTGGTAATTTTCATCTTTGAATTAAATCTGGGCTACAAAGATTTMSKAA